GCCGCTGGAGCAGCCACTTCCCAAGTCCCTCCTCCTGGGCTCAGTGGCCGTGGAGCCCGAGCCGAGGGGCCCCACTGCGGAGCAGGGCTGGCACCTGAGCAGAGGGAAGTGGGAATGGGGGTGCAGAGCCCCTTTGCCATAGCTGCCATCCTCCAGGACATGGTGACAGCCTCTCCTCCTCCTCCTCCTTTCCCTGTCTGGTGTGCTTGGTGCCTTACATCTGGGATTTCAGATCCAGCACCCCTCGGCAGCACATCCCCTCGGGGTACACGAACTCCTGACCTTTGTGGGGGCTCCGTGGGCCAAGCCACGTGTGCAGGCCTGTGCTGGGATSGCCGGCATGGTGCTCCAGGGACTCACAGGCCTGCCTTGGCCTGGCCTCGGGGTCTGGCCAGATCTGGCTCCTCCACCCCTGGGGTGAGCACTGGCTTCTTCCCTTCCTCCCTGGAGGAGGAGGAGGAGGATGGGATCGTGTGCGAGCGTCCGTTCCAGCTCTGGCAGAGCAGCCGGGCTCCTCTGGAGCCGGCGTCCCCAGGAGGGGCTCTGGCCTCGGGGCTCAGCGTTTTATGGGTATGCGGAGAGGACGCAGCTGGCTGCGGTCGTGACACACACACCTCAGCGGGGGCCAGGGCCGGGCCACCCCTCCCTCTTCCCACCAGTGCCGACCCGGGAATGGGCTGGATACGGGCCGGGCTGGGAGCCTGGCAGCCCTCARGGGGTTCAGCTGCGCGCACACCGCCTCTCCCAGGACTCCCCCTGGGGCTGGGGACCTTCACGGGGGATGGCAGGGAAGGTGACAGGCGTGTTCCCTCGCACTCGGCGGGCTCAGGGCGCTCTCCCAGCGTCCTTCCCGCTCCTCCGCCTTCCTTCCCGGCACATGGCACGGCGCCCTTGCCCAGGCAGCGGTGCAGGGAGACAGACGGCCACAGCTGGGCTCCTGCTGCCAGCCCGGCAGGAGGGGACACGCCGAGCCGGATGGCTGCTCCGTGCCCCTGCCTGCGCCCCAGGGGTGTCCCCAAGGAGCCGGGCGCTGCCGGAGCGTCCCAGCCCACGTCGTGCGGCCGGCTTGGGACTCAAGCTGAGATTTCTGGGTCTGCTTCGGCCCCCTGTCTCTCTCTGCTCCGGCTGCTGGCTGCAAAGGTCAGCAGTGGGAGGYCGGGCTGGCCCTGGTGCCGGCTGGGGAGACCTGCGGGGTGGGACGGAGGTGAGCTCAGCTGCCCGGTGACGTGGCCCCGAGGGCAGGGTGGGCACGGCCTCGCCCACGCGGAGCTGCTGCGGGCACCGGGCGATGAGGAGGAGGAGGAGGAACAGGATGCGGGGATGAGGCTTCCCAGCGGTTTGACCCGCTTTGTCCTGGGGCRGGGAGTCTGTCCTGGCACCGCTGGCTGGCTCAGGGAGAGGGGCTTGGGAAGCCGGGATCCTCATCTGCCGAGCCACGTTGTCCTCCTCCTCTTCTCCTGTCTCAGGTGTTGGCCCAGCGGGAGCCGTGGCAGCTGGAAAACTCCCCAAMCCCAACCGCAGCGCTTGGTTTTGGGGAGGGGAGAAGGCAGCGAGGGGCAGCCCCGCCGCCTCGGCACGGAGGAGACCCCCGGGGACGGGCCGGCGGCTTTTCCCAACTGCTCCAGCGCTGCTGGCGGGATATGCTGGCTCGGGAGGGGGGAAACCAGATACCCTGTCCCGCGGCTGGGGGGCGAGGGGCCCGGCCCCACGCCAAGCGGACCCCCCCAGACACGCTGCCGGGGAGCCGGGCTGGGGCTCCGTCCATCCGTGGATGGTGTGGGCAGCTCCGTCCGACACCTCCAGAGCCYCTCCGGATCCTCAGGGCTGTGAAGTATCCCCCATTTAGCCGGGGGAGGGGATCCAGAGCCCCCTTGCCACCCCTGACACGTCTGATGGGCGCTTCCTCATGGATTCAACACCAAATGCGCGCTTCCCGAGCAATAAATCAGCCAGCACCACATCGGTGTGTGGTTTATCCCTACGGGGGGTCCCCAAACTGCTGCTAATGAGTTCAGCACCCGATGGATTTGGGCAAAGAGGGTGCCGGTGTGCTCCAGGCAGGCACCCCGTTGTCCCGGAGAAAGCCGGGAGGATGCGATCACAGCCGGGAGGGCTCGGACCTGGCCAGGGCTGGGGTCTGGAGTGGAAGCGAATCTGCCTGTTACCTCCCGGCCCTTCCCGGCGCTCCCAGCGCCTTTGTTTTAAACAAAGCTTTTTTTGGGGGGAGCCAGGACGTTCCCCTCCCCKCCGAGAGAGCCCTCGCAGCAGCACCCACTCATGGATGAGAGGCGTGAGGGGAAGAGACGAGGGACTCTGGCTGTCGAGTCGCCCCCCTCCCCTCCGGCGGCGTCTCCGCTTGGCCCTGGAGGTCTCCCCACGYCCCCCAATCCACCCCACTCACCCCGGGTGGGCTGTGGGGAACGCCGCGGTCATTGCCAAGGGCCCCTCGGGCGCCGGGACGGGGCTTGTACTAACGGGGGAGMATAATCGGGAAGAAAGCGGCTCTGGCACCCGGAGGAAAGGGGCTGGGGGCGGGGGTCCCTCTCCCCTTGTGGACGAGGGACGCGGGCAGAAGCGAAGCCCTCCCTCGGGACGGAGGGTCCACCCGGGGCTGAACCGCCGCCGTCGCTCCGAGAGGCTCCGGTTGTGCCGCCGGGACCCCGCCGCGCTCCCCCCGCTCCGCCGCTCACCTGCCGCCGTCCCGGCGGGGCAGCGCCCGCCGCTCTGCGTGTCCCCGAGCCAGGGGAGGGGTGGTCCGCGGCCCCCGGACCTCCTCTCTCGGCCGGAGGGGAGGGGGCTGGCCGTGCCAGCGAAGGGCCGAGGACCCCCCCGTCCCCGCCCCGCCGCCACCCTCCCCGCACCGGCCGGCCCCATCCCTCCGCCGCTCC